GAAACCACAGTATTGCACTGTATCGTACTGCTGACCGATCCAGTGCACAGTTACTTCTATCCTCCTATAAGATTAAGTCAAAGACAATGTAAGTCCCAGAGAGGAGCAGCTGCAGCGCTGTACTTTAGTGTGGAGCACAACGTCATTCAGAGCGGCGCGAGACAACAGGTGTTCAGAGACACCAGAGATCAGCCCCTCTGTTTGCGATTTACAATAGCTTAAATTAGCCCTGAACTCTGGCAACCCCCAAATGTTCAGGACGTGAAGGAGAAAAATATGTTCGTAGTAAGAAAGTTGCCGCTGCGGCTTAGTAACAGGGGTATTTTTAACAATGACACACTCAGGGCTCAGGGTTAGGTTATATTTTACACCACGTTCATAATGATATGTTGTATTAAATCTCATCTAATCTAAGTTTCTGATAGGGGTGTGTTGGATTAATAAGAAAAATGGTTATATACTTAGACTTAGCGCATCAGAATTGCGATTCTAAGAAATTCTAATAAGAAAAGTGAATTGTGAGATATAAACTTCGCAACTGTGAGAAACAAAAGTCTGAAATTGCAAGAAAAAAAAATCTGAGAAAAAAAGTCAAAATTATGATATGTAATTTTAGAATTTAAAAAAAAATCGAAGAATGAAATGTACTTTATAGAATTCTAAGGGGAAAAAAATCTAAATTTACGAGATGTATTTTATAATTTTGAAAAAAGCCTGAATTATGAAATGTAATTTTAAAATCATGAGGAAAAAAGTAAAAATTATGATATGTAATTTTTGAATTCTGAGAAAAAAAGTCAAAATTTATGAGATGTAATTTTATAATTTTGAAAAAAACCTGAGTTATGAAATGTAATTTAAAAATTCTGAGGGAAAAAATTCAAAATTATGAAATGCAATTTTTAGAAATTTGATTTTAAAAAAAAGTCAAAATTATGAAATGTAATTTTAAAATTATGAGAAAAAAGTCAGAATTATGAAATGTAATTTTTTGAATTTTGATTAAAAAAAAGTCAAAATTATGAAATGTAATTTTAAAATTTTGAGAAAAAAGTCCGAATTATGAGATCTAATTTTAGAATTATGAGGGAACAAAAGGTAAAATTATGAGAGATAATTTTAGAATTTTGGGGGGGGAAACGGCCAGAAAGTCATAATTACAATAAGTAATTATAGAATTCTAAGAAGAGTCAGAATAGCAAGATGTAATTTTAGATTTCTGTGAAAAAAATTAATAAATTGGAATTGTGAGAATTTTAGAATTCTAAAAAAAAAAAAAAAAAAAAAAAAAAAAAAGTCAAAATTGAGAGATGTGAACTCTGAATTCTGAGAAGATTGTAAGATCACAAGTCACAATTCCATGGTGAAAATAAATAAACTTTTGCGAGATATATTTTCTAAGAAGAAAAAAAAATCGCAATAACCTCCTTTTTTTATATTTTTATTTTGGAAATAAGCTTCCATAAATACTACATGCAAGTCATCTAGTGATCTAGATTAACTACATCAAAAGAGCTTTATCTATTTAGATTACAGTGGACCGTTTTACTCTTCCAGATGAATTGTGAGGCACAGTAATGCGGACTGAGTTAAAGTGTCAGGCCATGTGTTGCTGATAGGAGCGTTGCTCAGCTTTCCGTTTATGACAGCAGAAATAGCCTCTCCACAACTGTCCCGTCACTCCAGCAGACTGACAGTAAGGAATGGCCTGTTACACACTCCCAACTCATCTGTGGCCACATTTAACACCAGCACCTGTTGTTTTTGCACGTTTGCCGCTTAGGACTCATTTCAGCCATGGAAAATTACAAATGAAATCTGCCCAGCAACAGATAGACGGGTCTTAACGGTCATTATTTTTGCAGTTTGTCCGGTGCTCTAAGTGGCTCAGAAGTTAAACGCTTCATCTTTAGCATCTATGACTCCAGGCATCTTTACACTGTCAGATTAAAGGTCCTGTTAGCAGTTTTAGCCGTTTGGATAACGTATGTTATGGCTGCAATACTGAAGTCAAAAGTGAGAAACAAAATGTTAGACTTGCGAACCCGTATATGCAAAATGATTGGAAGATGAAGAATGCTTCTGATGTGTCCTGTTTAATGACAGCTGTGCACAAGAATCAACTTTATAGAAAAATTGGAAATTATAGAAATGAATACCTTTATTTAGCCTTTATTCCAAAAGATTTCTATTTCAGATAAATGCTGTTCTTCTGAACTTTCTATTCATCAAAGAAACCTGAAAAATTCTACTCGGCTAAAAATATTACACAATATTACTGCTTTTGCTGTATTTAGAATCAAATAAATGCAGGCTTGCTGAGCAGAAGAGAATTCTTTAGAATTAGAAGTTCAGAAACTTTTGACTGGTAGTGTATATAATTTATTTACTTTTTATTTATTTTTTTTATTTATTTATTTTTTTTTTTTTGCATTTGTGACTGTGCACATTTACCCTCCCAGTTCCTCAAAAATATGTATTTATTTATTTATCATTGTAAGATTTTCTGTGCTGCCTTTAATTTTTAATGATTTCAAATATTGATAAAACAAAAAACAAAAAATGTTGCATAGTCACGGTAATGAAAATCATTAATATTTGAAATTTAAAAAAAAACGTCAAGATGCATTTCACAAATGAGAACTTGAGGGGGGGAATGCATTTATTATCTTAATTAATGTAAGTCAATTAAGTAATTTTTTATCTTTTGTTTTTCGTTTGATTTGACTTACTTGCCGTTCTTCAGATGCAACTCCCTGTTTCTCTTTGCAGTGTAAAGATGCAGAAAACACAGATTAAGCGCTTGCTGCTTATTTTCCCTTCAGAAGTTGGACGTTAGATTTGGTGTATTTAGCAGATTTCCACTCTTATTTCTCTTCAAGCGTTGTGTGTTTGTGACGTGTGAACGCACGCGAGTGTGAAACTGGATTTCTCCTCTTTCTTTTCAGTATTGTTTGGTGTGTCAGTAACATTGACTCTGTTTATGATTGCAGAATTGCTGTCAAAGCTACGCTCTATTTTCTTTTTTTTTTTTGGAAGGGTGTTTTTTCTGCTGTGATATTGATTGATCTGCTTTGATATTCATAGTCATTTGTTTTATTTGAGTGCAAGGTTAGGCAATATTATGACCTGAACTGAAATTGAATGCTGAGTTTGCAAGTGAAATGAGTTTGCCATGATATCAGTAATACAACAGCATTCATTTGAAACATCATTAAGAGCTAACGACGGACTCTGTTAGTGAAAGCACTATTAATGACTGATGATGACCTTCATTTAGTGAGTTGGGATTCACCAATTAAGTCTGATTCATCAAGTACAAGCAGAATGAATGTCTGGGTAAATCATTCATAAATCCTATGGCTAATTTGACTTAAATGCACACAGTTAAATCATATTTTTGCTTAATTTTACATGTGCAAACAACATGGATCGGAAATTAGATGCGTTTAAAAATATGCGGTTCTCAAGTAATATTTACCTTGATTTTTGTGTTTTCTTCATATTTCATATCTGATCTTAAGTATGCATGTAATTATTGCTGTTGTTTCCTTAACAAACCAGTAAATTTTTTTATTATTCTAAAAAATAAAATAAATGCTGAATTTTTCACATTTGAAGATCGAGAGTCAAAGGTTTTGACAATAAAATCTATTTAAAAAATAAATTAATTAAAAGAGGCGATACTAAGACCTTCACATATTCAATTCAGTTCATATCAATTAAATTAAAGCTTCAGTTAGAAAAAAAGCCAATACAATCAAATTAATTAAAAATAATTCAAAATGGGTAAAAAGTTTACAAGACAGATTTGCTGAGACTTTCATGTATTAAATTAAATTTATTTCACTTTAGTTCAGGTTTCAATTAAATTAAAAAGCCTAAAAGGGTTATACAATAAAATTAAATAAAAATAGTTCAAATGGGTAAAAGGTAAAAAGACAGATTTATTGAGACCTTCGTATATTAAATTCAATTTATTTCACTTTATTTCAAGTTTCAATTCAATTAAAAAGCCTAAAAGGGTTATACAATAAAATTAAATAAAAAATAATTCAAAACCGGTAAAAGGTAAAAAGACAGATTTATTGAGACCTTCATATATTAAATTCTATTTATTTCACTTTAGTTCAAGTTTCAATTCAATTAAAAAGCCTAAAAGGGTTATACAATAAAATTAAATAAAAAATAATTCAAAACCGGTAAAAGGTTTACAAGACAGATTTAGTGAGAAATATTCAGTTAAATTCGATACAAGTTTCAATTCGATTAAAAAAAGGTTGATACAATAAAATCTATATAAACAGATAAAAACTTTACAAGTCAGATTTGTGACCTCCATATATTCCATACAATTCAGTTCAAGTTTCAGTTCAATTCAAAAACATAAAATGTTATAAAACATAGAAATGGTGTAGACACACCATCTAACACTCTTAAAAATAAAGGTTCTTTATTGGCATCAATGGTTCTATGAAGAACCTTGAACATCCATGGAACCTTTCAAATGCAGAAAAGCTTCTTTAGATTTTTAAAATGTTCTTCAAACTGGTTCTTTTAGGAACTGTTCACTGAAAGCATCTCTGCAAAAACACCCTTTTGGAACCTTTATTTTTAAGAGTGTATGTAAACCCTTGCATTAAATTGAATGACAGTTTATGTAAAAAAAAAAACATGATTTACACAAATTCATTCTGCTTGTATTTCATGAACGAAGCCCATTGTTATTATTATGCTTTTAGCATCTGCATTGACCGTTTCAAGTAATGCAAAATGTTCAAAACAATAATGCATTTTTCTTTCCACCGTGAAATACCTGAAAACCTCGTAAGTTAATGATGCATCTTCTGATGTGACGTGACAGAGTTACTGATCATTGACTCTTCCCAGCATGCTCTATTGTGGCAGTCCTGTTGATGTGAATAACCCCGTGCTGTTTCATGTTGAACTCAATGTTTTGCTCGCTCCCTGTCTGATCACATGATCTCTGTGTCCCTCAGGATTCCCGCTCACTATGTGTACCCGCAGGCGTTTGTTCAGCCCAGCATGGTGATCCCTCACGTCCAGCCGTCCTCGGCCGCGGCCGCAGCGTCTCCGTACCTGGATTACACCAGCGCCGCGTACGCGCAGTACTCCGCCGCCGCCACATCCGCTGCAGCCGCCGCCGCTTATGATCAGTACCCGTATGCCGCCTCCCCAGCCGCCGCGGGTTACGTCGCTGCCGCGGCGGGCTACGGTTACGTCCAGCAGCCGCTGGCATCGCCTGCACCCGGATCCGCCGCGGCCGCGTTCGCTCAGTATCAGCCGCAGCAGCTGCAAACGGACCGCATGCAGTGAGAGGAAGAAGAAGGAGCGTTTATGACTGTCACCTAAACCAACTGATATGCCTTTTTTATTGTTCGGGTTATTGCTTTTTATTTGTAGTATTTAATATTTATTATGGAAAAGAACACTATAGTTTGTCGTTTATATGTACAAGAATATTATTTAGGCCTACTCACCCTAGTGTCATTAAAAACCCTTGTATTGCTTTTTTTTTTTTTTTTCAATGCAACACAAAAAGATTTTGGGTTTGCACCATTATGCAGATGCATAAACATCAAATCTGTGTCTTACATGGAAAAAAAATAGGATTTGACCAGCATAAGGGTGAGTAAATAATGACAGAATTCGTTTTTAGGTGAGTTATTTGTTTAAAGGAATAGTTCACCCAACTGTGAAATTTGGTTGATCCATCCGAGATGCAGACGAGTTTGTTTCTGCATCAGATTTGGAGAAATCTGAACTTGCTCTGCAGTGAATGGGTGCCGTCAGAACGAGAGCTGATAAAAACATCACAATAATCCACAGCACTCCAGTCCATCAGTTAACATCTGGAGAAGACAAAAGCTGAAACTAATCCAGCATTAAGACGTTTTTAACTCAAACACGAGTTCATAATCTAACTCTTCCTCCAGTGAAAAAGTGTTCTGGTCTGAATCAGGAGAGAGATCTGCACAGATCAAGCAGCATTTAAACAGCTCTAAACGCATATGTGGCTGGATTTTGATGTGAGAGACATCAGCAGATGCACTTTTTCACTGAGGAAGTGTTATTATGGATTATGGACTGGACGCAATGGTTTAAAGTTAAAAACATCTTAACGGTGCATTTGTAAGTAATCTTCCTCCAGTGAAAAAGTGTTCTGGTCTGAATCAGGAGAGAGATCTGCACAGATCAAGCAGCGTTTAAACAGCTCTAAACGCATATGTGGCTGGATTTTGATGTGAGAGACATCAGCAGATGCACTTTTTCACTGAGGAAGTGTTATTATGGATTATGGACTGGACGCAATGGTTTAAAGTTAAAAACATCTTAACGGTGCATTTGTAAGTAATAAGTACATTTTCAAGACATTTTCATTGTTTGAGTGAGCTATTCCTTTAAATGCATCACAGGCTACAGATAATTTGTGTCTTACACCTGATTATTTTCATAAACGCATAATATAGTATCATTGGACAGATTATCATATATTTGTTTTAGGATATCAAACAAAGTGCCTTATAAGATCACAGACGGTCAAGAAATGAAGATGATTTGATGTATCTGTTCAGCATCTAGTGCATCTCTGTGCCTTAATGCCTCAAACTGTAACTTATAGTAAAATGGTTAATTTTATATTTATTACTACATTTTCAAAAATAAAAGCTATGAGCACTACTGAAAGACTGTGCACTGTGTGTTTCAGTATTACTGTACTTCACACTGCTGGATTAATGTGCCTTTATTATGGTTAACAGACGTGAATGTCATTGAATTGGATTTGTTGTTGCCTTTGTGTTATTTCATATAAGTAGCATTTATGAAGGGACAAATGTGGCGAAGGGAAATGATTGCAATCATATGTGCATCTACACAATTCATGTCCAAGTATTTGTGAATTAAAAGGCCGTATCTTTGTTGTACGGTCGATCAGTTTGTCATCCTGAAGATCAAGCTCTGTTGATGAAAATACATTGTAGATGATTGGAGTTTCACATGGAATAAGTAACATTTGATAAAAAAGTGTATCAGATAATTGTGATGATTTATTAAAAAGTATCTCATCTCACTTTTTTTCCCCCCTGTTGTGTATTTATTATGCCATTTTAAAGTTTATAGTTTTTATTGATTTTATATAGCCTATATTACTTATATTGAATATTTAGTATTTAATTTTAATTTTAGTTAAAGTTCTAGTAATTTTGTGCTTTATAAAGTTTTTTATATTTATTTTATTTCGAGTAGAATGGTTTTAGCTTCAGTTTTATACGCACGTTGTGTTTTACAGTATAGGTTAATTTCATTTTAAAGTTATTTTCTGCATTAAAAGTCTTTTTAGACTCGAGTATGATGCCTTAAAAACAGGTTTTGTAGAACAAATAGTTGATGCACTGTAAAAAATATAAAAAGTTGAGAAAACTTAAAAGTTTAAGGCAACCAGCTTCAGCAGATTTTTGAGTTTTCTCAACTTGTTTTTGTATAAACTGAAAATAAAAAGTTGAGAAAACTCAATCTGCTTTTTTTCAACTTTTTATTTTTTACAGTGTATAACCTCAACACGGTAGAGATTGTGTCTGGTTTGTGTGTTTAGTGAAACCTAAACTTAAACCACAAGAAAACCCAAATAAGCGTGTTCTGTATTACAGATAATAACGATCCAAATGCCTTTTCTATTTATCAAAGAACTAATTACACAATAAAACAAGAATATGCTGCGATCTGTTTACAGTAACATGCGGTCAAACACTGACATCTGCTGGATATGAAATGCTAAATTACAGTCTTTCAACCAGTAAACATCACTTATTTTATCTAGATGTATTTTTGCATTAAAGTCACTTTAATGATTAAAATATATAAAATAATCAAAGCAATTGTGAAACACAAAACTTGAAGAATTGTGAAAGCTATACCTGAAAAACTAGATTTGATGTAGTTAACAGAAATCGATGGCATTATTTTTGAAAGCATCCTCACTTTAGCATCTTTACACAAGTGCCTATAACTTCTCACAGAACTGTAGCTTTGCAGGAGGTTTCTTGAAGCATCTTTGAGTCTTTGCCACAGTTCTTCTGGACTGAGTCTGTCTCAGTTTCTTCATGTAATCGCAGACGGACTGATGATGATCAGATCTCTGTGTGCAGCACCAGACAAAAATCTCACTGGATTATTACAATTAATGGCAAAAGAAATGTTTGGAAAAGTAAACTGATATTTCCTACCGACACACTACAGCAAAACATAGAAATAACTGACTTTAAACCATTTTTTGTTTGTGAAAATATAATGGCCTAAGACTTTTGCACAGATCTGTATATATTTTATTTATTTATTTTTATTTAGTCATTTAGCAGACGTTTTTATCCAAAGCTACTTACAAATGAGGACAATAAAAGCAGTCAAATAAAATAAAAATAAGCGTAAATGAAATTGTATCGTATTGTATTGTATTGTTATATTGGGGGGGAAATAATCCACTGCTTTCTTGCTTTTTGTAGTAAAAAAAACAAACAAAAAAAAACATGGGCATTGACAAAATTATATTCTGGTCAAAAAAATTAACACACACACATATATACATATACACACACATACATATATATATATATATACATACACACATATACACATATATATACATATACACATATATACATATACACACACATACATATATATATATATATACGAGAATCTGGTGGTTCACCGTATCAAAAGCAGCAGACAGATCCAGCAAAATATATATACATACATAGTCATGTTATTATAGCCTAACGATCCTATTGACGGGAAATATTTCATATGCTTTCATGTGATATCGGGAAGCAATGTAGTAAGCACTGGAAACAATGTGGCACGCATATGAAGACCAGGGTTGCCAGGTTTTTCAAGCATTATCTCTGGATGTCCTGTACACTTGTGTTATATGCAAAGAGATGATTTTTTCCCCTAAAACTCTTCATCTGAAGACAGTCAGTCATAAACATATGGGATGGCATGAGGGTGTGGACGGTGTATGTATCCCTTTAAGGGCTATGTTTATTTGTGTTCCACTTTGCTGCATTTTAATTGTTGTTGCTGCACTAGATGACTTGTACAATTGTGTTTTGTTTTGTTTTGTTTTGTTTCTCACTTTAACCAAACCTTTGTATGTCTGTCTGACAAAACATTTCATGAATGTTTAATTTGAAGCACTTAGCACTTAACATGGTGAAATAAGAAACTCCTTTATTTATTTATTGTACTTTAAAAAAAATTTTTTTTTTTTTTTTAAGTAAAATTTTAAGTTGTACTTTTTTACTTTTACTCAAGTATGCTTTTGGCCAGATACTTGTACTTTCACTTGAGTATCATTTTTAAAATACTTTTTTTACACCCCTGGTAAAATAACATTACAATGAAAATAACAATGTTTAGACAATGTTATTTTTTTCATATTATTATATATAACAAAAGCAGTCTTAAGTCACTGGGGTACTCAACTGTTTTAAATATTGATAATCAGCAAATCAGCATATTAGAATGATTTCTGAAGGATCATGTGACTCTGAAGACTGGAGTAATGATGCTGAAAATACAGCTGCTCATCACAGAAATAAATTACATTTTAACAGATATTCACACAGAAAACAGTTCTTTTAAACAGTAAAAATATTTCACAATATTACTGCTTTTGCTGTGCTTTGGATCAAATAAATGCAGCCTTGGTGAGCAGAAGAGAATTCTTTAAAAAACATTAAAAATCTTAGCGTTCAAAAATCTTTATATATACCATATGTATATATATATATACAGACAGACCTGTTTGTACTTTATTTTCATATTTGGAGTCTTTTGAGGGTGACTCTTGGGAAGGATTTGGCAACCCTGGCGCTGGCTGTACTTCCGAGGAGACGGGAAGTTTGGAGTTTTTCCAAAGAAAACAGAACATTTAGTTTCAGATCTCCAAGTTTAAGTTCATCTGGCAGAAAACAGCGCAAAGCTCAGCTTTACTCTCAGTCCGCAGCGAAATGTAAGTTCAGATTCTGTCTTCATCACTGAACTGAAAATATGTGTCACCTTTCGCAAATTTACACTGATGTGTCTCTTTTGTTCTGTTACATTGTTATTCTGTTATTGTTAGTAGCTACTCGTGTATTCATATTGAATAATGTGATAGTATTATTATCGTCATTGCTCGGTAAAGCACCGTTATGTCGTGTTTCAAGTGCTTTTTGTAGTTTTTTCCCCCACTTTTTTAATGTTTTTATGAGGGAAGTAATGTTCGGGAATGATAAAAAATGGCCTGGAAAGGCATAGAAATAAAAATAAAAAATAAAAATAAAATTTTTTAAAGTGACATTTCTTTTATAGTAGCCTACATGCATTTTAATCGTTATGCTGTAAACTATTTAATCGTATAGTATTTTATTTATTTATACTGGGCTAAGAGCATCAACACTCCAGAGTTCACTGAATGAAAATCTTGCAGTATGTAGACAATTTAAATATATATATTGTTAAATATATAAATATATAGACACCACATCATATATGTTAATGTTGTATTTTACTTATTTACTTAAATTTATGATATTATTTTTTTATATATAATTTATTATTATATATTCTCAGGGAGACTTATTTA